TGACCTACATTTTCCGATTGAGTGAACAGGTTAAAGTTTTTGGTAAAGGTTTCATATCGAAGATACTTTGAGCCCTATAATGACCAAACTTGCATGGATGGTACATCTTAGGATGTATTCTACTAGACTTGCCTCGGATGCTGAATCTGACCTACATTTTCCGGTTGAGTGAACAGGTTAAAGTTTTTGGTGCAGCTTTCATTTCCAAGTTACTATGAGCCCTATAATGACCAAACTTGTATTGATGATACATCTTAGGATGCATACTACCAGCCTTGTTTCGGATGCTGAATCCGACCTACATTTTTCGGTTGAGTGAACAGGTTAAAGTTTTTGGTGAAGGTTTCATATCGAAGATACTTTGAGCCCTATAATGACCAAACTTGCATGGATGGTACATCTTAGGATGAATACTACCAGCCTTGCTTCGGATGCTGAATCTGACCTACATTTTATGGACGAGTAAACATGTTAAGGTTTATAGTGCAGGATTCATTTCCAAGTAACTTTGAGCCCTATAATGACCAAACTTGCATGGATGGTACATCTAAGGTTGCAATCTACTAGGCTGGCTTCGGATACTGAATCTGACCTACATTTTCTGGATTAGTGGAAAGGTTAATTTTTTTATACAGGTTTCATTTGCAAGTAACTTTAAGCCCTATGTTGACCAAACTTGCATGAATGATTCATCTTAGGATGCACACTAATGGACTTGCTTCAGATGCTGAATTCGACATACATTTTCCAGATAATAGACCTCGTAAAAGTTATGGGTGCAAGTCTATCACCAAGAAACTAAACCAGTTGCACAAATGATGCATCAAGGGATGAAAATTCTCAATCTTGCTTCAGATGCTGGATTTTAATTACATTTTCATGGTGAAGAACTAGTTTTAAATTTTTATATAAGTTTATTCCAAAGTATCAAACGTGCAAAAATTTTGCATTTTTGGATGTACACTTTTGTTGGTTAATTGTGTGACTTAATTAATTTGCCTTACTTAAAGACAACACACGTTGAGGTGAGCTCTGTAATCTCTGATTACCTATGTTTGCAAGTTGCAGCTGTTTCATTATCATGTCACTATAAATGAATCCAAAGCAGTAAATGTTGGGAAATGACCATCAATACATGTATGTTTTGAGGAGCTTATATCTAAATGAATTTTTTGACAATTTTTCTAAATAGAGATATAAGGACTATAATCCAATCCAAACTTTACAATAGTTATGTCCCTTTTCTGGGTCAACCAAAAAGTCAAATGGGGAAAGAAATGACATTTCTCCTCTTTATGCTACAAAATATTTTGGGCATGCTCAGTCTCAGATAAATCAACTGTGTTTTTATTTTTTCTTTTGATATATGAGTTGGCCCATCTTAGGGCAATCATTATCCAAGATGCACATAATTTTTTCCATTCAGATGACAAAGTTACAAACCAGAAACTATAAAGGGTACTGTGAAGATTCTTTGGGGTTTTCCTCAAAGATAGCGGTCAAAGGACATAACTTTTGAAAAGTGTGAATTCAACAATTCTTTACTGAAAAAAATATTTAAAAATGATTTGACGAGTTTTTTCAAACTATTTATTTTAAATGTCTTTTTCTCCTTTTATAAAATCATTATTATTTTTTTTTTAAATACATGTATTTAAATTATATAATGTATTTTGCACATAAAGTATGTGGAAAACTTCAACATTCAAAGACGTAATTGATGCCATTGACATTCAAATAGACAGAGGATAAATGTCTCTTTTCATATCAAACTTCAACTGAAAAAGTCTTAATTCTGAAATAGAATCCATAATTCCTTTGGAATAATGCACAAATAGTTTTTCATTCAAATCTTTCATCCAAAGTTCCACATGGAGTTGGTGGACAATGCCACAGTTTCAGTAGTACAAGGATAGGGATTGATATTATGTCCAGTGATTTTCATTCCATTTATTTTCAAACCTGTAGTTTTGTCTGCCTGTTTTTATGGAACAAAATATTGGTTCAAATGGTCTACCCCCTCATTGCTGATATGATGTTCTGGCTCACTGCAAGAAATAAGAAACCAATGTCAAAATAGTGTTTTCTAATTTTGGAAATTGATATGCATGGTAATACATGTATTATGAAAAAATAAATATTCATATTTTTGATGATATTAAAAGGATTTTTTAAAAGGGTTGGCTATAAACTGGAGTTGGTTGGGAAAGCAGAAATTATTTTTTCACTTAAATTGAGAAGTATAAATAATATAAACATACAGGTGTAACATTGTCATTGTACCTTAATGATAGCGGATGATCCATATGTTAGGACACCACATGAGAGGGCTGCAGCTCCATCCCTATACATGTAGTTCCATAATGTACCTCTTCTCAAGTCTCCATTTAGCAGATATAAAATGTTCTATATTCTCTTTTATCTTGACATCATGTGTCCACAAAAACAGGAATACCTGTTCAAAAAATATTCATATTTGTATACATCTGAGGAGCATTAATTGATTTTTCATGTTTATTCTTAGAATACATGTACATGAATTTTTTTGAAATGCATTTCTAGTGGTTATAGATAATGTTTGGGGCACTAACATGTGAATGGCAGTATTTGAGGGTAGAGTGGTTGTCCGATTCTATATATGTGCTATAATTTCTGCCGGTGATTTTTGTTCAATAATAAATGTTGACCTAAATATTTTCATTTCAAAACAGATTGCGTACATTGTCGGATAAGTCCTAGTTTAAAAGTAAGCCGTCGAGTGTAAAAGTTAGTGGTCCTCACAAAAGTCCATATAATATTAAATATCACATTGACTTGAGACAGTCTTACTTCTCCTATTATGTTAGTGTACACCCAATTTTGCTAAGACTGGCTCAAGTCCCTATGGTAAATATGTAATTATTTCTGCTATTATACATGACAGATACAACTACTGTATATGTACATAAAAATGCAGGCTTCATATTTTAGCAACTTGGGCACAAAAATTGCATGATGCAATAATTCATGAATATCCCTGTTTTATGCAGAAGAATTTTAGGTGTGAAGTATATGTGCATTACTTTTGTTGTAGTGTAGATTAGTGAAATGTTGAACTGTATGTTGAGGGGAAAAATTATATAAACACTTTGCAAGATGTACACAGGATACTTGTTTGGGTTACATGTATAACAGGTTGGGACCAATCACCCAAATGGGATATGATAGTCCGTTAGGGATATAATATCCCATATGGGCTATAAATTTACAGTGCAAAAATTGAAAATATTTATTTTGGCTATAAATATCATAAATCCGCATCAGGACACTTAAAAAGGAATAACTTTTGGTTGACAAGTTTTCCTGTATGTCCATTGTTTTGGAGATTGATCCCTCGGAAGTTCCTTAACTTCTTGGGGATCAATCTTACAAACTATAGGGTTGCAGAAAAACTTGCTTACCAAAAGTTATTCCTTTTTATGTGTTTAAATGCGGATTTATGATATTTATTGCCAAAATAAAAATTTTCAATTTTTGCACTGTAAATTTATAGCCCATATGGGATATTATATCCCAAACGGACTATTATATCCCATTTGGGCGATTGGTCCCAACCTGTATAACAGTGTCTCAAATGTTATATCTATAGACATGATTAGAGTATAACTGAAGTAGGTGAAGATCAACTGATAGTGATACACGTATACACAATCACTGTGGTATTGTATTTATCGCGTAGTTATAGTTATATAATAGTTATATAATCCGAGATTCCTCTGACTCTAACATTGTTCAAAGCAGGGTTTAGACATGTTAGAGTCAGAGGAATCTCGGATTAATAGCTATAGTGCCCTTTAACCCTCTTTGAATATTTATATAAGAAAGAATTGGCAATGTCATGATTACGGAAGAAAAATAATGAGTTTAATTTAGAGACAAACCTGGGCAGATCAGACGAGAGTTGTGGGCATGGTGGGGTGGGGTGATCATGGTGATGCGATCGTGATTCCTTCATTCGAGTGATTGTTGGCAGAAGAATTTCAGTATGACACAGCTCACCATCGCCTTCTTTCAGTCAAAGAAGCCTTGTTGTACGGCTAAATAGATTTGATAGACGAAAACTCGAGATTTCTCCGCATTTCATGCTTTCCGAAACATCCGATTTGCTTACATTGCCGAAAACGACAATACGCAAGAGAAGTCGTAAAATTACACTGCGTTGTTTTTGGTTCGATTTTAATGATATTTAAGCCACAATTAATAATATTTTAAATCAAGAATATCTATAAAATAACTTGCATGGTAGAATTTAATAAAAAATCATGGAAAGATTTGAACGACATATACAAACGTAAAATTCATTTACGTCACTTGGAGTTGCGCGGTGGATTCAAAATCGTCAGTTCCATACTCCCTTAATCAGAATTTCTTTCCGTTTTATAAATTACGAGATACATAATATATATACCTGCATGTAAGTGAATCTGTAAAAATATCTATGTTTTTTCATATTTAATATGACATATTGACATACATTGTATAGTTACTTATCATTTACTATCAAAACAACAACAGGTCCCTTTTTTTAGAACATCGAATTTTCCTTGTCGGGTAAAAACGTACTCTGCACAGTTTGTGTTTTATATTCTAAAATTGAAAATTATTACAATTTTGATTATAAATGATGCGTGTGTCTATCTTTAATTTATATTTTATGCAGCCAACATTTCAAGTACTTGAGGAATTGATCAAGTTGAAAATGGTTTCCTTTTGATTGATTTTTATCCGACTCCAAGTTTTTCAAAAAAAATATTTGCAACTATTGTCTCCATCACATGCCTTTTTACACATTTCAAAGCAGTTTGTTGACTCATTTTCATTGTTTACTCTATATATTTCCTGGGCGACAATTGACGGTTACATCAATGTTTTCTTGTACTCTTAGACACTATCCCTCTGTTATACTCTTTTGACACTATCCCTCTGTTATACTCTTTTGACTCTATCCCTCTGTTATACAGGTGACACAGATTATAGACAGAATCCTATCGTTTCCTGTGACGTCACCTGTTGTCAAGTTCCTCACCGGTTTAGAACTTCTCCTGGAGAAAACTCAGGTAAGTCACTCACAAGTGGATTAATAAAATCATCAAAATGTCGTAAACCTAATCATTGATAAAACAGATTTTGAGTGGACATATCTGAGGTTAAATTATGAATGATTTTGAGGTATATGTTTTATAGGAATGGGAAAGCAATGCAGCAAAGCATGTTTCTATGGCAACCCAGTTGTCAGAAGTTTCCTCTAAGATTTTGGACTGGAGAAAACTAGAGCTCAGGTAGACAAACATCTGGTTCTTTATATCTAGAGCTTAAGTTTGCAATCATAATATGTAATTAACCTTACAATTTGAAAATAAAAGGCTCGATTTCAAAATAATTTCCCCCAAACCACAAAATTTGAACCCTTTCAAATATAAATTATGATATAGCAGCGTATTCTGACATTTTCCAGCTGTTGGAAGCAGTGCCTGGACAATGTCTTTGTAAAGCTGTCCAAGAAAGCTAACAAATGGTGGTTCCACATTTATCAACTTATCCAGGCTACATATCAACAGGTAAGAAAACTTTCCCTCTGTGACAGTTTAGTTAAACTATTCAGAAGTTCATAACCTTCTTGTTCCTTATCTTAATCATCATAATGTTAAAACTTATTGTTCTGTAGGAGGAGACGTCAGAAGGTTCAGAGACAGAAGAGAGAGAATTGTAAGAGGTAATGCAGACCCTGAAAGAGTTCATAGAGAGGTCCAATCTAGGCGAATTTGAGGCCCGACTAGTGATGTTGAAGTCGTTCCATTTTCAAAGCATGTACCTCTGTACTGAGGCCAAAGAAGGGGGGACACAATCACAAGGTAGGATTTATTTTGTCTTGATTATTGTAAATGTGTTATAATCCAATAAGATTCAGATGAGAAGAATTACTTGTCAATGAATCATTTCACTCACAACAGTGAATAATTGTTATTTTCTGATTTTTTGTCTGTTACATACACAATAGCTGCAGTTTATTACTGGCATATTTGATTGATTTGTTATTTATCACTTTTTGATGTTTTATTTCTAGGCATGATGAACTTACTGTGGAACCTGCATCAGTTTTACAGTCAGTTCTTACCATTGGTCAGAGAGAAAATACAGCAACTAAGACAACCAATAGAAAAAGAACTCAAGGTATTGTCACGTAATTAGGATTTTATCTGTCTTTATGAATATATGTAGCAAATACATGTCATTTTGATTTATTTCTTTCATTTGAATTAAGGGGTTTGTAAAAATTGCCCGCTGGACAGATATGAACTTCTGGGCCCTAAAACAGACAACAGAGAAAACACACCGAACATTACACAAACAGATGAAGGCTTTCCAGGTAGGTTTAGAAACATTTTTTGGATTGTATTTTTAAATTAGTAGACAGATTACAAAACATTATGCTCACCCATTCTTTGTTGATTTTTCTTATTTTTTACATAACTGTCATGCTAACTCATTGTTCCTTATTTTTTTTATGGAAGGCTGTTTTAGAACAACCAGTTCAGGGTATATTGGCCGACCCTGATAGCAGTGTAGATTCTACTGGTCAAAGGGAGAGAACTCTAACCTGGAGAGAAACATACGGCTCAGCTGTACAGTCTCTGATATCACACACAATCAGTCTACAGGTAAGACAGGTGTAAATTAATTTTTGTAAATATTTGGCAAATGAAAAAGAGTTTGTAGAACTTCATGCATATGCATTTGTTGTTATAACAGCTAATTAAGGTTAGTGTAACATTTGCCTATCTTGACCAATATTGTATATTTTTTACCAACATGTATGTTTGTTGCAGACACAACAGTCAGAGTTACCTGCCCTTGATCGTGGAGGTCTACACAGGCGACTTGGTCAGTTATCGGTCAGAATGTGTAAACACTGGAAATCGCTGACAAAGAGACTCAAGTACGACCAACTAATTGTCAGACTAGATGAGTTCACAGGTAAACACTTGCTTACATACTACAACTACTAAGTCTCAGAAAAATGCAGATGATCAAGTGAACTAAAGCATAAATTTCAAAATGCTCAAAAAGCAAATTTGTATTCAGTAGTTAAGAATTTTAGCTTTATTTCAAGGGTTGAATTAAAGTTTATCATGCAGAGTTTTGTTAATATGAAACAGAAATAGCCATGTACTTATACTTATATGTATGCCTGCTTGTTGAAACATTTAAGTTACAAGATTAATGATATCCTAATTTATATCCTTTACTTTTAGGAGAAATCATTGAATCCATTCATGAACTTCAACAGCTGGAAGTTTCACAGGTGAGTTTTATTGGAATTATCTCTTCCTTGCAATATTATGTACTGAGGTACACATATGTTTGTATTTATGAAATATAATCATGAACATCCCAATGGATGCTTACAGACAGCTGACAAAGAAAAACAGAAATCGGAAGCTAAACACATTGGACAGAAGAAAAGAAAAGCTCTCAGTGATCTGTTTAAAGAAATAGCACAGCTAGGTAAATAATAGCACAACTAGGTAATGAATTAGCACAACTATGTAATACATGTACATGTGTAAAGATTTGGAAATGCATGAATTAACAAAAACGGTTTTTATTGCTAAAATATATTTACTATAAACATCTGTTGTACAGGTCTTTCCTACAGGAGAGGACTTCTCTGTGACGCTGAGAGTAATCTCCCTTTACTTGTCCCACCACTAGATGTCTCTGTGTGCTCAGATCAACTCACCACAAGGTGGGGCTGTTTTTATCCCCATTTTATCTAAATAAAGAATTGAATCTTCATAAACATTTTTTTTGTTTTTATGCTTTGTGTAAAAGTTTAATTTTTCCTTTAGTAAGAACAGCGCTACAGAAATAGGTCAGTGTTGCCAAGACTACTACTATAAATGTGTTGCCAGAAGAGCCAAGTTAGCCACCGCTCTACAGACTCCTTCCAAGGTGAGTTCCTAGATCACATGACCTAGAGATAATACAGCTCTACAGTCTCCTTCCAAGGTGAGTAAATTCCTAGATCACATGTAGAGATAATACAGATCTACAGACTCCTTCCAAGGTGAGTAAATTCCTAGATCACATGACCTAGAGATAATACAGCTCTACAGTCTGCTTCCAAGGTGAGTAAATTCCTAGATCACATGACCTAGAGATAATACAGATCTACAGACTCCTTCCAAGGTGAGTAAATTCCTAGATCACATGACCTAGAGATAATACAGCTTACAGACTCCATCCAAGGTAGTAATTTAGATCAATGACCTAGAGATAATACAGCTTACAGATTCCATCCAAGGTGAGTTTTTTCCTAGATCACATGACCTAGAGATAATACAGCTCTACAGACACCTTCCAAGGTGAGTAAATTCCAAGATCACATGACCTAGAGATAAAAAAGCTCTACAGACTCCTTCCAAGGTGAGTAAATTCCTAGATCACATGACCTAGAGATAATACAGCTCTACAGATTCCTTCCAAGGTGAGTAAATTCCTAGATCACATGACCTAGAGATAATACAGCTCTACAGACTCCTTCCAAGGTGAGTAAATTCCTAGATCACATGACCTAGAGATAATACAGCTCTACAGACTCCTTCCAAGGTGAGTAAATTCCTAGATCACATGACCTAGAGATAATACAGCTCTACAGACTCCTTCCAAGGTGAGTAAATTCCAGGATCACATGACCTAGAGATAATACAGCTCTAATAGAACCATCCAAGGTGAGAAATTTTAGATCACATGACCTAGAATAATACAGATCTACAGACTCCTTCCAAGGTGAGTAAATTCCTAGATCACATGACCTAGAGATAATACAGCTCTACAGACTCCATCCAAGGTGAGTAAATTCCTAGATCACATGACCTAGAGATAATACAGATCTACAGACTCCCTCCAAGGTGAGTAAATTCCTAGATCACATGACCTAGAGATAATACAGCTCTACAGACTCCATCCAAGGTGAGTAAATTCCTAGATCACATGACCTAGAGATAATACAGCTCTACAGACTCCTTCCAAGGTGAGTAAATTCCTAGATCACATGACCTAGAGATAATACAGCTCTACAGACTCCATCCAAGGTGAGTAAATTCCTAGATCACATGACCTAGAGATAATACAGCTCTACAGACTCCTTCCAAGGTGAGTAAATTCCTAGATCACATGACCTAAGATAATACAGTTCTAAGTCTCCTTCCAAGGTGAGTAAATTCCTAGATCACATGACCTAGAGATAATACAGCTCTACAGACTCCTTCCAAGGTGAGTAAATTCCTAGATCACATGACCTAGAGATAATACAGATCTACAGACTCCTTCCAAGGTGAGTAAATTCCTAGATCACATGACCTAGAGATAATACAGCTCTACAGACTCCTTCCAAGGTGAGTAGATTCCTAGATCACATGACCTAGAGATAATACAGATCTACAGACTCCTTCCAAGGTGAGTAAATTCCTAGATCACATGACCTAGAGATAATACAGCTCTACAGACTCCTTCCAAGGTGAGTAAATTCCTAGATCACATGACCTAGAGATAATACAGCTCTACAGACTCCATCCAACAGTATTATTTAGATCACATGACCTAGAGATAATACAACTCTACAGACTCCATCCAAGGTGAGTAAATTCCTAGATCACATGACCTAGAGATAATACAGCTCTACAGACTCCTTCCAAGGTGAGTAAATTCCTAGATCACATGACCTAGAGATAATACAGCTTTACAGACTCCATCCAAGGTGAGTAAATTCCTAGATCACATGACCTAGAGATAATACAGCTTTACAGACTCCTTCCAAGGTGAGTAAATTCCTAGATCACATGACCTAGAGATAATACAGCTTTACAGACTCCTTCCAAGGTGAGTAAATTCCTAGATCACATGACCTAGAGATAATACAACTCTACAGACTCCTTCCAAGGTGAGTAAATTACCAGATCACATGACCTAGAGATAATACAGCTCTACAGACTCCATCCAAGGTGAGTAAATTCCTAGATCACATGACCTAGAGATAATACAGCTTTACAGACTCCTTCCAAGGTGAGTAAATTCCTAGATCACATGACCTAGAGATAATACAGCTCTACAGACTCCTTCCAAGGTGAGTAAATTCCTAGATCACATGACCTAGAGATAATACAGAGTGTTAATAAACAGTAGCAATTCAGATCACAAAAGCAAAGAACGATACTGGTATTATATGATTTAAAAGTTGTAATTGGCTCTGTGTGATTTATTAAAATTTTTAGGAACTCGGTGTAGGGAATATAGAGCGATGTAAAGGATACACTGAACACTTAATGAAGTTAGTGGTGGATCAGTATTCTGGGGTGGTGGAGATTCACAAGGCTTTCTTATCATTAAGGTAGGTCAAGGGTCACATGATGACAACCCTTTTGTGGTATATTTGAAAGATTTGCAATTGATTTTATCCATGCAGTTTTAAAATATGAAGATCTTTTAAAGAAAATATTTAGACAATTAACTAAATTAAACATTAGATAAACATATACCTGGTATTAAACATTTAATTGACATTTTTTGATCAATTGAAGCTCCTTGTCTGAAGTGTTACAAGATTTATGTTCAGTTAATGGAACACCCCCTCCACAGAAGTCAACAAGGGAGCGTGTGGTATGTAGACAAAATCAATCTGTTTATATTATATATCTTTATTGTAAGGAAACACTGTATGTTCAATTCTTTCTCAATGGATAATTATAGTTAAAGGAACCAAACTGAAGATCTTTTAGTGTTGACATACAATGTACATGTCTTTATAATTTCAATTTATGAATCTGAGGTGCCACTATATTATTTTTCCCTCCCTATCACCATTGAATACATTTACAGGAATCCTTACTATCTCTCTTGGTCAGCATGAAGGAGGGTCTAATTCAGGTCAAGGTCATACTTCAGTGTTGTCCACGACAACAAGAGGAGATAACTCACTATCCGTCTCCATTTCCCAGAAATCAATTATCACAGTCAGCCCTGATGAAGTATGGGGATGAACAGTGGAAACACTGCTTTGAGGCAATTCAGGTTTGAGCATTTTTGGTCACATTGGATTTAAAAATATTGTATATTCTCCAGGCAAAGACTGTTTCTTTTGAGTTTTTGTCCCAGAGTCCATTTGCAGAAACCAGGATTCTCAACAGAAGTCTTACATGTATCTGCTATCTTCTTCTTTATATTAATTAATTGAGGAAAATGAATATGATATGATTTGCTAATTAGGTGCCACACTTGTATTTAATTTTTTTTTTTTCTACACATTTATTTTTCTAGACAATACAACAGAAGGCCAACACATTGTATGACTGTATCATGCCTCTAACAAAAAGACAATTAATTACATGGTATGCCAGGATTGTATTATAATTCAGGCCATTTTTTTTATTAGGCTAGTTGTTTTTCAAGAATTTTTTTGAAAAAATAAGGTCGGTCGGTCAAAAAAAAAAAAAAAAAGACAGTTGAAAAGTTGTAGTCTACTAAACAGATTAGTCGATAAAGTACTTAGAGTACACTAGTAACAAATATTTCAAAAACTTCTACATGCAATAAAACTGCTTTTTCTGTACCATTCTACTTTTGTTTAACATAATTACATATTTAAAAAAAAAAAAGATGTACGTTCTTCTTAGTTTATTAGTAATTTTAATTTTTGATTTGATGTTGTGATTTATCGTTATGACCCTGATCTAGTTAACTTCGAATGGTTTACTGTTAAGGTGAAAAATATTTACGAAATTCAATCAATTTAATTTTTGATGAATTAAATTTAGTTGATTGCAACTACCATTGTGGCAATTAAAATTAATTTCAAAAGTTAATTCTCACTTGTAAGGCTTAAAATTGAATCATATATAAATAACAGTTTTGATAAAAATTCAAAATAAAAATAAATTTAAATCATCATCATTTTTTTCTCAGTGGGCATTGAACTTCATGTCACCTATTATATACTGCATGTGTTTACCATTATCAGAGGAATGGAGGAAATTCGGGTTAGGAAAAAATGATCATTTCAGGAAGTAAACAAGTCAAGTAGAATTGCAAAATAGATAAGATTGTGGATATTTATGAAGAATAGAAGCATATTGTATTAAAAAAAATCATGTATTAAAAAATTTTCATTTATTGAAGACATCACATTAGAACAGAGAACAATTAATTAATCAGGCCCTCACCCCAGTCGGTCACATGGACTGGTGGTACAAGATGTACAGTGAATTTCATCTAAAAAATTTCGATTTTCTATCAGTTTTGCCAGTAGGACCAGGGACCTATAAACTAGTTAGTATATAAGTCCCTGGTAGGACAAATGGTTTTTGGAAACACTGTATTGATGACATGCTCCTTTCCATGGTCGTCACCATTTTTGCAGCATGTGACACATTTTTTTCCCAAAGTTTAGCTTCGTATTTTTCGGCGGCAATTTCAATTGTAAAAAAAACAACTAGATAAAAATTTTATTTTTTTTCAATTTCTCAAATTTTAAGTCGGCGGTCTTGAAAAACAACTAATAAAAAAAAATGGCCTCAAAATGAATAATAATTTTTTTTTCACCTTTAATTTAATTTTGTAAGTCATCTTTTATTTGTAACTGGCAGTGATTATTTAGAACTGAAAAAATATTGAATTTACTTCAAGTATTTTGCAATATTTAAACAAGAAATCTAGACCTTCTTCTTCATTGCAGGAGTGACCTTGAGAAAGTGAGGTCAGTGTACAGAGATTTAACCGACTGTGTACCCCGACTGACAGAGATAGAGGGACTCTTCTGTGACCCTGAAGACAGAACCCTGCCCTCCTACATAGAGACAGTCAGGTACCTCAGACAGGAAATACAGAGCAGGGCTGGAGAGTTCACACACTGGGTCAACATTGAGTCAGAAAGACATGTCACAAAATCAGATAACGAGGAGATACAGAGTTCAGGGATAGAACCACCCAGTGATGAAAGGGGAGAGAAGATGGAGGTGGAGACATTTAGTGATAAGGTGGAGAACCTGATAGCTGGTCTGTTACTGAGTGTACAGGATCTCACACAGAATCACAGGCAGAGCACTGCAGGAGAGAAAGGTAATGGGTTTACACGTTCTGTTGATATTCATGGCTTTGTGATGGGACATTTTCTGTTCACTAACAGATTGTGATATTAAATTTTGTAGAAGATAATACTGGGACATTGTTAGAGGGACATCTAGTGGTCCATCTTGATGAAAGAGTAAAGGGAGATAAACAATGTCTGCAACTGAAAAAGGTAAATTATAAAACAAGTTTTTATTTTCTGTTTATTGTCGCCATTTTTTTCAATCTTATGCATTTAGAACATTTCATTTCACAGAATAAATATTTTGTTTGATTTTTTTTTGCAGATTATTCAGTCTCTCCAGAGTTTGGTAATGGATGTCCTTGACCTTACAGACTCAAGGTCAGATGTCCTGACCTTTGTCCAGATTCTAGGACAGTGTCAGCCGTTAGTACAGCAGTACCGAGACATGGTGGAGTACTACTTACTTCATAGTTTGGCTGAGAACAGGGTGACTGGGAAACTCCTGTCGGTTCTGTTGGCTGTCTTCACTGAACTGGCCTCTAAAGTAAGAAAGACCTCAGGATAGTTCTTATGTGGACAAGACTTCTTTATCTTTGCTTTCCCATATCGAAAATAAATATAAAAATAATAGATTAAAATAATACAAAAATAATACAAAAAAAGTATATTTTTAATGACCAAATTTGGAACCCTTTTTATCTTGGTTCCAAATTAGGTAAAAATAATACACTTTCTTAGAAATGAAACACAAAATAATATATTTTTAATATACTTTATTTCTCAGTAAAAATACAAAAATAATACACTTGATGTATTTTTTCTGTACTCTTGTATTTTTTCTGTATTAAATCCTGATCCAAAGTACAAAAATAATACAATTTAGAGAAGAACTAAAAAATACAAAAATAATATAAAATGTATTAATTTTGTATCAGTCTATTATTTCTGTATTATTTGAAGCACCTTGAAAAAAAAAAATAGGAAAATAATACAAAATGTATTAATTTTGTATCAGTCTATTATTTCTGTATTTTTTGGAACACCTTAAAAAAAAATAGGAAAATAATACAAAATGTATTAATTTTGTATCAGTCTATTATTTCTGTATTATTTGGAGCACCTTGAAAAAAAAAATAGGAAAATAATACAAAATGTATTAATTTTGTATCAGTCTATTATTTCTGTATTATTTGGAGCACCTTGAAAAAAAAAATAGGAAAATAATACAAAATGTATTAATTTTGTATCAGTCTATTGTTTCTGTATTATTTGGAGTACCTTGAAAAAAAATAGGAAAATAATACAAAATGTATTAATTTTGTATCAGTCTATTGTTTCTGTATTATTTGGAGTACCTTGAAAAAAGAATAGGAAAATAATACAAAATGTATTAATTTTGTATCAGTCTATTATTTCTGTATTAAAATCGATTTTAAAATTAAAAAAATCTAAAAAGAATTCATTCTGAAAGGTACAAAAAAAAATACATTTAGGAGTTCAAAAAAGGTACAAGAATGATAGACAAAAAGTACATTAAAAAGCTTTAAATAATACAATGCAGTGCCTAGAAAAGTACTTAAAACGTGAAAAACTTCTTAAATGCAGCTTTCAATCAAATTTTAAAGAGAAATGGCTTTTGATTACTGATTTAGTTACTTTTTGTGCAATAATCTTGATTTTTTCTGCCTTACATACAGTATTCACTCTTCAATTGTCCTCATTTCTAAGTCATGTTTTATCAATCTTATTGCCTTTGTAAATTATACATTTATAATGAGATATGAATTCAAAAGTCTAGATCTTCTCTCTGCTTTGGGGTTTCTTTTGCACAGCAATATACTTTATTGAAGAAGTACATCGTTTTCTCACTGTCATCCTGCTTGGTCCTGCATAATCTTAGACTACAAAATAGAATATCAAAATGTACTGGGGTATATCAAAAATAGATGCACAGACACACGCAAAAAGAAATCTTTACATGATTAGCTGATATTGTCATTTGTCAATGTTACACACCTGTAATGCTTCAAGGGGTAGAGTGGGAGGGTGGGTGGGTAGGTGTCCTAGCTATTCCTCTATAACTAATCAGCTTTTCTTCTTTGGCTCTGTAGAGGCACTCAAACTGAAAAAGTAATGATACTGATAAATGTTTTGCAGAACAGGTAGAAATAAAAACCATTAAAAGATGAAAATATAAAACTGTCAATACACCTCATTGGAATTGGGGGGGGGGTCATTTGATTTGAAATCTTAAACTGATATTGGGGAAGGGAAACATGGATCATCATACATGTATATTGATATAAAAAATAATTAGTTTGTGCCTAGAATCATTAAATCATATACGATAGGGAACCACACAGACTGTTCAAGTCATTTTTGAAATAATCATAAGTATGCTAAACCATAAATCCATGAAGCTTAGTTGCAATGATTACCCCCACCCCCACCCCCACCCCCTCACTTTTCAAAATTTTATTGGTTGTATGCCAAGATGATTTTATCTGTTATAATTACATGCTTAGGCCTGAGGGATAGGGTGAAATTAATTTTTAAGTCATTTTTGGTCCATGTAATTAATATCATCTGCCATTGAACATGTTGAAAGCCCGTAATTATCCATACAATTCAAGATACAAGAACAAAACAAAACTCTCTTTCGCCACAAATCCAACATCTCCAATATATCTACATTCAATTTGACCTACTATATGAATTGGTTATAAAAGATATTATTAACATTTATTAATCTACATTTCACATTTTAAAAATTGAAACTACTGTGCTATTTTATTTAAATTCTTACCGCATATGGCGTTGTTTACACCAGGAAAGCCAGGAATGATGCTTGAAAAACGCCAACCTCCTTCCGTTTTCGCTTTTCTTTGTTTAAAATTGTGATCCAAGCTAACATTATGTAGCTAAACATCTATTTTCTACCAATTTCATCGACGAATACTAGCTAAATTTGTATTAAACATCACAACTCTCTCAATTCTGTTCGTCGATCTATTTTTCAAAATGGCGTGGGTAAATTACCGTTAACCAATCAGAGAAAAGCAAAGAAAAATTTTAAAATCTGACCAATCAAATAGCTCCTTATTTACGAAGATTGCCGATTTTTAAATATAAAATATTTTTAACAGTCTAAGGAAACGTATTTATGTACGAAGTCTAATAAGTAATATGAAATCAATTAAATAAACCCTTGGTCATTACGAGAATAATAAGAAGGATTCATTTCTTATAATCGTTATATTTGTTTTTAAGAAATTTTCCGATTACAGATGAAAGATTTTTGGTCAGCCATATTGTTTTGTTTTTTTTAATTATACAAGTTGACCTGTAAAGTAGACCATAAAGTTCAAGAAGAATGATCAATTTAGTGTTAAATCTAAAGCAAAATAACAAGGTATAGAGCCATGCCCCCCTTTTCTCGGCGCCATGTCCTTTTTTCCTGACAAAAAATTAATAAATATTCCCAGTGTTGGCGATAATCTGTTCTGTTGATCCAGTGCATACTGATAATCTCTTGTTTACATAACGCAACCAACAATTGACCAACTGTGAATCACGACAGGAAATCACATCACGCTTGAACGATTCACACAGCCACCTGGCTAATTAACATGCCTCAGGCTGTCAAGGTAGAAGATTTAACTTGAGAAACTGTGATTTGATTGCATTGATTATACAAGAATTAGCCCAAGATCAAACATAATTAACTTGTAAATTATTAACTAATTAAAATCAGGATCGTTTTTTTTTTTAAACTGAGAGTAGAATTATAAACACAGAGTTGAAGAAAAACTCGTCTGATATTTCATCTGAATAAAAACAACTTACTTTGTACCAAAAACTGAATGTGATGTGACAAAAGGCTAAAAAACAACAACCTAAGTTAGTTTCAGCTAACATTCTCTAGTGTAAATATCTATCTTAAACACACTGATAATTTAATTAGGAAACCTACTACTTGCACATCCCTTTCTACTTGAACATTGTAAGCTCATTTCTTGAAATTTATTTAAGATAATTTGAATATGATTCCTTCTCTGAGTGAAAAAAATGCACATATTTACTAAAATCTGAAGAAAACATCGTATGCATGGTATTAGCTAGTTGCCAGTTTGGACTTTCCATGTGCACAGGTAAATCACGTGATTTCTGAATTGTAGTATGATGTAATCATTTGTTAGCCTGCAAGACCACCTGTTGTGTGATAGATCTAAACAGTGAAAGATGTAAACCCGCTGAGAAGTTAATGTAAACCCGCTGTAAAATCTTCATGCCCAAGATTCAAATATTTCTCTAGATTACCACTGATTGAGATTAACATAAATTTTAGTACCAATTATTTATTTAAGTTCTAGATAATCGGATACCAAGATTCCTGAAAAAAATATATATAATATAAATTTTCTAAGTACCGGGTATGCTATAAACTTAAAAAAAAAACAGCAGACATTTTTCAAGGAATTTCTCTTAAATTTATAAAGTTCATAAAGATAAATGTAAATAGAAAAAAATATGTCTAAATTTCCCCCCCCCCCCCAACAACAAAAAGAAATAGAGACCAAATATATGGAATTTTCTGTAAATGTACTAAAATCAAATTTGAGACAAAAAATACTGATCGTCTTTCTGTAAAATTACCAAGTCCAAATTTAATATAAAAATAATACAGACAAACTCTGTAAAATTACTAAGTCTAAATTTGATATAAAAATAATACAGACAAACTGTCTCTTAAATTTTTAAGTCCAAATTTAATACAGAAATGATACAGTCTAACTGTATAGACTTTTCTGTAAAATTACTAAGTTCAAATTTAATACAGAAAAAATACATCTGGAAAAAATTAAGTCCTGAAATAATACAAAAATAATATACTGAAAATAATCAAAGTCCAAAAAATACAAAAATAATACACTGAAAATAATCTAAGTCCAAAAAAATACAAAAATAATACACTGTACAAAATCAAAGTCAAATTTTAATACGAAAATGATATACTGAATTTTTTGTGATAGGAAAATAATATATTTTTTCTGTATTATTTTAAGAAAGTACAAAAATGAATGTATTAAAAGTATATTAAAAATATACTTTACTGTATTATTTTTTTATATGGGTTATCATCCTGATGTTGGATAAATACTGTATACAGGGAAATTTTTGCCCCCGTTTTATTTTCGCCCCTTTCGCCCTACCCTCATTAGGGCAAATTTAAAACAGGGCGAATTCGAAAAATTCAGTATAATTTCCTAAACAAAACTCAAGATTGGGTGAATTTAAATCAGGACAAATCTGTTTTACTGTGTAAAAGGGCGAAAATAACACGGGGCGAAAATAACCCTGTATACAGTAAATCCCATATTTATCTTTTCCTTGAATAAATTTAAAGGTTTAGGATACTATAGATGCATTTTTTGTCAGGATTCATTATTTTCAATATTAAGATGTTTGTTTTTGACAAAGATTCTATGTTCTGGCTTTATTTTGTTAACATTTGTTTCTGACAGGGATTCTGTGTTCTTGCTATGTTTTGTTGTTTGTTTTTATCAAGGATTCTGCGTTCTTGCTATGTTTTGTTGTTTGTTTTTATCAGGGATTCTGTGTTCTTGCTATGTTTTGTTGTTTGTTTTTATCATGGATTCTGTGTTCTTGCTATGTTTTGTTGTTTGAATCAGGGATTCTGTGTTCTTGCATGATTTGTTATTTGTTTTTACAGGGATTTGGGTGCATTCTTGCTATATTTTGTTATTTGTTTTTATCAAATCCCAACGCGTTCTTGCTATGTTTTGTTGTTTGTTTTTATCAATTCTGTGTTCTTGCTATGTTTTGTTGTTTGTTTTTATCAGGGATCTCTGTGTTCTTGCTATATTTTGTTATTTGTTTTTATCAGGGATTCTGTGTTCTTGCTATATTTTGTTATTTGTTTTTATCAGGGATTCTGTGTTCAAACCTATGTTTTGTTAAAATTTATCAGGGATTCTGTGACTTGCTATATTTTGTTGTTTGTTTTTATCAGGGATTCTGTGTTCTTGCTATATTTTGTTATTTGTTTTTATCAGGGATTCTGTGTTCTTGCTATATTTTGTTATTTGTTTTTATCAGGGATTCTGTGTTCTTGCTATGTTTTGTTGTTTGTTTTTATCAGGGATTCTGTGTTCTTGCTATGTTTTGTTGTTTGTTTTTATCAGGGATTCTGTGTTCTTGCTATATTTTGTTATTTGTTTTTATCAGGGATTCTGTGTTCTTGCTATGTTTTGTTATTTGTTTTTATCATGGATTCTGTGTTCTTGCTATGTTTTGTTGTTTGTTTTTATCAGGGATTCTGTGTTCTTGCTATGTTTTGTTGTTTGTTTTTATCAGGGATTCTGTGTTCTTGCTATGTTTTGTTATTTGTTTTTATCAGGGATTCTGTGTTCTTGCTATGTTTTGTTATTTGTTTTTATCAGGGATTCTGTGTTCTTGCTATGTTTTGTTGTTTGTTTTTATCAGGGATTCTGTGTTCTTGCTATATTTTGTTATTTGTTTTTATCAGGGATTCTGTGTTCTTGCTATGTTTTGTTATTTGTTTTTATCAGGGATTCTGTGTTCTTGCTATGTTTTGTTATTTGTTTTTATCAGGGATTCTGTGTTCTTGCTATATTTTGTTGTTTGTTTTTATCAGGGATTCTGTGTTCTTGCTATGTTTTGTTATTTGTTTTTATCAGGGATTCTGTGTTCTTGCTATGTTTTGTTGTTTGTTTTTATCAGGGATTCTGTGTTCTTGCTATGTTTTGTTATTTGTTTTTATCAGGGATTCTGTGTTCTTGCTATATTTTGTTATTTGTTTTTATCAGGGATTCTGTGTTCTTGCTATGTTTTGTTATTTGTTTTTATCAGGGATTCTGTGTTCTTGCTATATTTTGTTATTTGTTTTTATCAGGGATTCTGTGTTCTTGCTATGTTTTGTTATTTGTTTTTATCAGGGATTCTGTGTTCTTGCTATATTTTGTTGTTTGTTTTTATCAGGGATTCTGTGTTCCCGCTGAGTTTGAGGATGAGGTGGCAGGAGAGGGAGCTACAGAGTTTGAGGACATTGAGGGAGGGGGCCTGGGTCAAGGTGAAGGGGTCAAGGACGTTAGTGATCAGATTGAAAATGAAGACCAGGTAAAGACCACCAGCCTTAATAAATACTTTAGTGAGCAGATTGAGGATTGAATTTATTAATGTTACATTGTTACTATTTAGTTCCAAAATTGTGTTGAAAGTTATGCTCAAATCTGGAGATTTCCTTTATATATGATATTTTGAAACAGCTTGATGAGGCCAGGAAAGCAGGAGAGGAGAGAAAAGAGGAGGATTCCTCCCAGCAGCCTGACATCAGGTCCGAGGAGAATGCCATAGAGATGTCTGACGACTTTGAGGGCAAAGTTCACGACCTTGAAGCTGCAGACCAAGAGGAAAGGTCAGATGAAGAGGATGATGGGAAGGAAGAGGAGCTGGATAGACAGATGGGAGAAGTGGACGGGAATGACACGGAGAAGTTAGACGACCAGATGTGGGGGAGTGATGAAGAGGAGGGAAAGGAGCAGGGGGTGAGTGCAGAAAAGTCAAATCATCATAACATTGGTTTTATATACTAGAATAGTACTGTTAGTAATAAAAAGCGCAGGATCTGCTTAATTGAGTTATTTGTCAATTTTAAAAGTGAAATTTTTTATTTTGAAAGGAGAAAGAAGAATTTGGCCCTGGGTCCCAGCAGGAGCAGAAGAGTGAACTGGTTGCTAAGGACGACAACCAAGACAAGACAGAAACAGACGACAAATCAGACAAGCAGACGACAGATGAAAATGAGGCTGAGGAGAATGACGAAAACCAGAAACCACAGGAACTGGAGCAGATAGATGAGGTGAGTACTAATAAACCACAGGAACTGGACAGGTACTGAGGTAGTACTAATAAACCACAGTGTATTGTAACAGAAGATGAGGTGAGACATAAACCACAGGAACTGGAACAGGTAGATGAGGTGAGTACTTATAAACCACAGGAACTGGAACAGGTAGATGAGGTGAGAACTAATAAACACAGAGGAACTGGACCAAGGTAATGAAGTAGAGTACATAAAAGTTGTAATAACAATTTTGCATTATGAATATATGTGGAAAAGCCCTGAAGGCTTATTTTAAAACAGGAAAACCTTTCAAAAGCCAATTTATGAAAAACTAAACTGGAAGTATGTCCTCAAGATACAATGAGTACTTATTAACATACACAGGAACTGGAACAGAGCCCCCTGGTGGTGAGTACAAGAACCACAGGAACTGGAACAAGGGAAGAATACTTATAAACCACAGGAACTGAACAGGTAGATGAAGTGAGAACTAATAAACCACAGTAACTGGAACAGGTAATTACAATAGTTTTTATAACACAGGTACTGGAAAGGTTAGATGAAGTGAGTACTTTAAACCACAGGAATAAAGCTGGAAAATTAGATGAAGTGAATACTTATAAATTTACAATATACTTCAACAGGTAGATGAAGTGAGAACTAATAAACCACAGGAACTGGAACAGGTAGATGAAGTGAGTACTTATAAACCACAGGAACTGGAACAGGTAGATGAAGTGAGAACTAATAAACCACAGGAACTGGAACAGGTAGATGAAGTGAGTACTTATAAACCACAGGAACTGGAACAGGTAGATGAAGTGAGAACTAGTAAACCACAGGAACTGGAATATTTTTGATTAATAAACACAAAATCAAATTAATAAGTACATATTGTACTGTTTGCTTAAATGATTTATTGAGAATATACTACAATAGGCTTATAATTGTCTCTGTTTATTGTAGTCAGAATATGATGACGACAAAATCGACCCTAACCATGGTAACCAAGAACCCCAGCAGGCCCCTGACAACATGGATCTCTCTGACGACATGAAGCTGGATGAATGTAGAGGCTGGGGTCACAGAGGAAGACCAGGTCAAGGTGGTACAACAGTTTTAATATACAATCTTGCATTATGAATTTTATATGCGGAAAACCCCTAACAGGCTTATATTAAAAGTCAAAACCTTTCAAAAGCCAATTTATGAAAAACTAAATAAGTATGTCCTTAAATACAAACCACTTAAAATAAGGCAAAGAGCCTCCATCAGAGCCCCCTGGTGTGAACAGAGATGGCAGAGAGGACAGGGAGATAATCAGGACAAAACAGGAAGGTCCCCTAAGAACTTGTCAGAAATTACAATATTTGTTTTTCTATAACACATGTACAAAATAGTACATGTGCATTATGAAATGTTGAACCAATTTTTGATATATACCGTATATACAAGCCCTAACATTTTTGGGTGTTAATTTCACACACATAATCCAAAACTGTGTGAACTTATAGGCGAGTGTAAATAGAATGACTGGTAATTATATGAAACTCTCTAAAATACGTAAGCCTATTAAATACAACCGAACAGGCTCAGACTTATGTTAGTATATACAACTGGAAAATCATCATAAGAAGAGAATATTTCTATACATTTCTACAATTACTTCAAAGACAATCAAAGTCAGATCATCCATTTAAGAAAGAATAAAAATAGCACAGTAGATATTTTAACCCAGTTTTGTATAATGTATCTTTGTAGGAAGTGGAACCAGAAATGTCAGAGGACCAGAATAACCAGACAGAAGAGGAACCAGACAAAGATCAAGGAACCAGGCAAGAGGAGGAAGGAGAGGAGGATCCAGGGTTTTCTGCTCAGGTACAAAACTAAACTCAAAATATGTCATTTGATTTAATACACTTAATCAAATTAATATTGTACGATTTCCTAGTATTATGTTGTTGAAATAGTGAGTAGTTCAATGATCACGTGTATTTCAGAATGAACCAACAGATGTCAGTGCTGAGGATGAAGAAGACAGCTCTAGGAACAAGGATGACAAACCCCAGGCAGCAGATAATTATGGGAAGACTTCCCATGATTCCCAGAATGTAGAAGTCAAATCAGCCCAGGATAGGGAGGGGAACCAGACAATTTTCCAGAAAGAGGTCAGACTTTATTGAGGCCGGGCAGCTTATTTTCCAGTGCAGATAGTTAATGATCTGAATTTCAGAAAATACTGATTTCAGTTCTATAACTTTCTTTATAATTATAAAACGTTAAAAATATTATGGCAAAGATAAAATTTGCAAAATATGTTCCTGGTACAAATCTTCGTCTTTTATGGTTGAGTTATAATACTAACTGGGAGTTATACATCTACATGCATGTGGCAAACACCTTAAACTGTAATGTACACATATTTACAGAGTGAAGGAACTGGAACCTCAAACTTAGAAGCTGAAGAGGGTCATGAAGGTCAAAGTTCAAAGGTTGCTCCATCATCCACCAATCAGTCTCAGAAGGTAATCTGGCATCATTTTTTTTTTGTTCTTATTGAAAAATACATGGTCTTTGAGTTTATGTATAATTAAGGAGTTTTAAATCATAGTATATTGTATTACAAGTATATATAAAGGCACAAATATCCAAGCCCAAATTTTTAATCCATGTAAGACAGAAACATTTACCATACACTGTCCACCCATTACACATCCTATTGTAATTGTACTTGTAGTCTGTGAAGAGAAAAGCTGGTCAGTCCAATGAAGACAGAAGTTTGGGATCTAACGAGAACCAGTTTAAGAAGCTGAAGACCATTGAGGAGGCTTCTGCCAATGAGGAGGTATTTTAGTTAGAAGCTTTTCCTATGTAGATTGTAACACAAGTTTTGATTGGTTAACAAGTCAGGTGTAAATATCTGTAATGTAAGGAGCAGTGCAAAAAAAATCAATAGATTATGTGTCATTAGAAGGGTGGTTACCTTGAATCATCTTTCTTTCACATTGAAATTAGATTCATCTGTATTTTGTAGAGTGAGGAAAATCAAGATTCTACAGAAAAAGACTCAGAGCTGTATGAACATATTAATGACACTAAATCTTCCCATGATGCTCAGACACTAGATGTCGCCACTGATAAACAGCAGATGGAGGAGGCTGTACCTAACAGAGAGGTGGATCCAGAGAATGAAGGGGTGGAGGAGGAGGTGAAGATGGAAGAGGACAAAGAAGAGGTGAGTAAAGAAAACCTCTGTAGCATGTGTCAGAGTTTGGAGGTTTAAAGTGAAAAAGATAATGAAAATTACCTGTATGAATTAAGAAAGACCCCCCCCCCGCCCCCTTCACACAAGCTTTGTTCTGGATTTCAGCTAAGAAAGTTCAGGTATTGTGATATTTCATTATAAATTTAATGTAGAGTTTATAAGAAGTCCTGATCTTTCCACAGGAAATTGATGAAAATGTGGAAAAGCTATCATCTCACCTAAATACAAAAGACAAACATAGCAAGAAGAGGGAAGGAAGGAATGAAGAAGGGATGAATGAAGATCAGGAGGAGACAAAGAAGTATGAAACAGAGGGTGTTGTCAAGGAAACACTGGGGGCCTCAAGGGGACCAGAATCTACAATTCACACCACACTGGAGAATCTCCACCTAGAGGCCAGGGTACGTCAATACTCAACATAATTATGTAGTCTTGTCACTCCTTCTGTAAAGTCAGATATTTCTTTTAATTAATGTTGAAACCTGACAGATATAAACAAAAAGATTTTCACTCCTGGTAAATTTAGATATATTTATTTTTAACTTTTACTGGAACGTGATGAACATAAAAGAGGTTTTTCAGGGTTCTGACTTGGATGTGGAGAAGCTTAGATCAGAGTTAGAGGAGCAGTTGTCTACCTTTACCAACACAGTCAATCACACAGCAGAGGCAGTGAGTTTTACTGATAAAAGAATTATTTTGAATATAATCAATAGTGAAATCTTTTGTTACAAACACAACAATCTCTGGACTATTACATTGTACATTTATTATCTTTATTATATTACACTGTACATAATTTTTGGTGCTTATTTATTACATTATTAATTGTTGACAGGAGGAGGCAGCATCAGAGGCGTGGCACCGATACGAAGCTCTGACATCAACTCTGTCTCAGGAACTGTGTGAACAACTCAGGCTAGTGTTAGAGCCCTCACAGGCCACAAAACTCAGGTAAGGTCCCCTGAACTGTGTGAACAACTCAGGCTAGTGTTAGAGCCCTCACAGGCCACAAAACTCAGGTAATGTCCCCCTGAACTGTGTGAACAACTAAGGCTAGTGTTAGAGCCCTCACAGGCCACAAAACTCAGGTAAGGTTCCCTGAACTGTGTGAACAACTCAGGCTCACAGGCCACAAAACTCAGGTAAGGTCCCCTGAACTGTGTGAACAACTCAGAGTGTTAGAGCCCTCACAGGCCACAAAACTCAGGTAAGGTCCCCTGAACTGTGTGAACAACTCAGGCTAGTGTTAGAGCCCTCACAGGCCACAAAACTCAGGTAAGGTCCCCTGAACTGTGTGAACAACTCAGACTAGTGTTAGAGCCCTCACAGGCCACAAAACTCAGGTAAGGTCCCCTGAACTGTGTGAACAACTCAGGCTAGTGTTAGAGCCCTCACAGGCCACAAAACTCAGGTAAGTGTTAGAGCCCTCACAGGCCACAAAACTCAGGTAAGGTCCCCTGAACTGTGTGAACAACTCAGGCTAGTGTTAGAGCCCTCACAGGCAACAAAGTTCATGCTTAGGTCGTGTAAAGATTCAGAAATTACTGTTTAATGTGATTTCTGATGATTGTTATATTTTGGTGTGTTTAGGGGAGACTACAGGACTGGTAAGAGATTAAACATGAGGAAAGTCATTCCATACATCGCCAGTCAGTTCAGGAAAGACAAAATCTGGCTCCGTCGTGTTACCCTCAAACCCAGCAAAAGACAGTACCAGATCATGCTGGCTATAGACGACTCCTCAAGTATGGTGGACAACCACTCCAAACAGGTCAGTTATAAAAAAAACATGGAGGGTAGGTCAAGATACAGACAGAAACGTAAACATTCAAAATCAAACCAAAGAAAAAGGATAAACAACGGAAATAATGTAAAGTCACATATTTTTGTGGGGTCAAATTTTTTGTGGATTGAGTAAAACCTCTTGGTTCATGGGGATTTGAAATCATGGAAGTGGAATTGTTGAGAAGTTATGTTTGTGGCATTTTGCATTTTATGGTGGACATGAATTCGTGGGTCTCTTTATACCTCGAAAACAAAGAAAATTTAACCCCAACAAAAATTTGTGATTTCACAGTAACACACAAAAGTAAATCTGATTTGAATTTATAGAATGGTATGCAAAATGATAGGGGAGAGGGTAATTTTTTGTAGATGATTTTTATCCTGTATATGTCAAAATAAATATCAGTCAAATTTACAGATTTTTTTTAGTTGGCTTTTGAGTCCCTGGCCTTGATTTCTAATGCTCTGACTTTGTTAGAGTCAGGGGATTTGAGTATCTGCAGGTATGTTATGAATCAATGTAAAAGTAAGTTTTTGTTTGTAGGAATTTAAAAAATATAGATTGTAGTACGGTAAGTTCACTTTTTAATAAACAAAAATTATATCCACAAACAGTTTTGGAGAGTCTGTACAAGTCCTTCACCCGTTCACTGAGCAGTTCACAAGTCACTCTGGGTCCAGATTGTTACAGCAGTTTACTTTTGAACAGAAGAAAACCAAAGTGGCTCAGGTATGACTGAAAAAAATGTTAGCACATGTGCAACAACTGTAGCAAATAAAACTTATGACAAGAGGTCTGTGTACAACGGTATGCTCATACTTACTCTAATTTCTTTTCAGCTTTTGAAGAAAGCCACATCAATGATGATGGACGCTCGCTCCCGACAGCGGGGAATGCTGGGTAATCCCGAGACGTCACAGTTACTGCTGATCGTGTCTGATGAGCGGGGCTTGTTTAATGAGGGAATGAAGACGGTCAGATCGGCCGTCAGACAGGCGCGGGAGGCCGGAGTCTTCCTGGTGTTTGTTATCATTGATAATCCCCAAAACAAGGTACAGAACTCCCGAATTCCCCATGTTCTATTTTTTGGATAAATTGAGTGGATAATTTTGGATAATTATACCCGCACTTTCTAAAGAAAGTTCGGGTATATTGTTGTTACTCATGTCCGTCCGTCCGTCCGTCCGTCCGTCTGTCACACTTTTCTTCCCTGAACTCCTCCTACATTTTACACAGTAGCTTAATCATCTTTTGGGAGATGGTTTGTGGGGTCATGTAGATGTGCAGTAAGGTTTTGGAATTTCGATTTTGCCCCGGGGGCTCAAATGGGGGTCGAAAAATGATGTTTTTTGTCCAAAAAGCCCCGTCTTCCCTGAACTCCTTCTACATTTTACTCAGTAGCCTAACCAGGTTTTGGGAGATGGTTGGTGGGGTCATGTAGATGTGCAGTAAGGTTTTGGAATTTTGATTTTGCCCCAGGGGGTCAAATGGGGGTCGAAAAATGACGTTTTTGTCCAAAAAGCCCCCTCTTCCCTGAACTCCTTCTACATTTTACTCAGTAGCCTAACCAGCTTTTGGGAGATGGTTGGTGGGGTCATGTAGATGTGCAGTAAGCTTTCGGAATTTTGATTTTGCCCCAGGGGGTCAAATGGGGGTCGAAAAATGACGTTTTTTAAGCAAAAAGCTCCGTCTTCCCTGAACTCCTCTTACATTTTACTCAGTAGCCTAATCATCTTTTGGGAGATGGTTGGTGGGGTCATGTAGATGTGCAGTAAGGTTTTGGAATTTCGATTTTGCCCCGGGGGGTCAAATGGGGGTCGAAAAATTATGTTTTTTGTCCAAAAAGCTCCGTCTTCCCTGAACTCCTTCTACATTTTATTCAGCAGCCTAATCATATTTTAGGAGATGGTTGGTGGGGTCATGCAGATGTGCAGGTAGGTTTCAGAGTTTTGATTTTGCCCCGGGGAGTCAAATAAAGGTCGAAAAATGATGTTTTTTATGGAAAAAGCCCCATCTTCCCTGAACTCCTCTTACATTTTATTCAGCATCCTAATCATCTTTGGGAGATGGTTGGTTGGGTCATGTAGATTGCAGTTAGGTTTTGGAATTTTGATTTTGCCCCGGGGAGTCAAATAAAGGTCGAAAAATGATGTTTTTTATGGAAAAAGCCCAGTCTTCCCTAAACTCCTTTTTTGTTTTAAACAGTGGTCTTATCATTTTTTGGGAGAGTTCACTCTTTTGAAATTTTGTTAAAACATCAAGGTCAAGGGGTAAAAAATCATAGCATGTTGGGAGCCTCTTGTTATGGGTAATGTTCACTTGAAATGTGAAAGTCAAATCTCTTCTCAATGAAAAGGAAATACAACATTAATGAAAACTAAGTTAAACTTCAAGGTCAAGGTCACAGAGTCAAAAAGTCATGATACATTTTGGAAGGTCTTATCACAGGTAATATGAATGCCCTTTCATTTATCTTTCAAAATGAACAATTCAAAGCAATTAATTTTTTAAGGAAATTAGGTCAAACTTCAAGATCATGGGTAATGAAAATCATAGTGTATGTAGAATGGTATTGTCCCATTTAATACTAATACACATGTTTAATATAAAAGTCCTATCTCTTCTCATTCAAAATATACGACCATGATGACCAAGGTTAAATTTATTGTGGCAGATGGGCAGATTGACAAACAAATGAGATTTAATGTACCCTACCTTTAGCAAAAATGGGGACAATAAATGTCTTTGCTGTTCTTGAGAAGAAGATTTATGTTGGAACAAGATGTGTTTGTGAAACACTACACGCCCGGCGGCAACAAAGTTAAAAAAATCTTCTTTTAGCATATTGATCACAGTCAAGGTCACAAGGTCATTGACCATGGTGTCATTCGAAAGAACTTAATCAGTGGAGTATGCGTACTAAATATGAAGTCCCTATCTCCTATGGTTCAAAAGTTGTGGCAAAAAGTGTAAAGAGCTATTTTTAGCATATCCGTCACAGTCAAGGTCACAAGATCATTGACCTTGCCGTCGTTTGAGAGGACTTTATCGGTGGAGTATGCATATCAAATATGAAGTCCCTATCTCCTATGGTTCAAAAGTTATGACAAACAGTGGAAAAAGCTATTTTTAGAATATAGGTCACAGTCAAGGTCACAAAGTCATTGACCATGGTGTCATTTGAAAGAACTTAATCGGTGGAGTATGAATACCAAATATGAAGTCCTTATCTCTGATGGTTTAAAAGTTATGGTAAAAAGTGTAAAAAGCTATTTTTAGCATATAGGTCACAGTCAAAGTCACAAGATCATTGACCTTGATGTCATTTGAAAGGACTCTATTAGTGGAGTATGCATACCAAATATGAAGTCCCTATCTCCTATGGTTCAAAAGTTATGACAAACAGTGGAAAAAGCTATTTTTAGCATATAAGTCTTAGTCAAGGTCACAAGGTCATTGACCTTGAAGTCATTTGAAAGGACTTTATTAGTGGAGTATGCTTACCAAATATGAAGTCTCTATCCCTTATTGTTCAAAAGTTATGGCCAAGGTTAAAGTTGACAAACAGACAAACAGATAAACAGACAAACAGACAAACAGACAGGACAAAAACAATATACGCCCGGGATCTATCGATCCGGGCGCTTAAAAAGTACCCTGCATATTTAAATGTAAATTGGTTGAAATTAGCCCAGTGGTTCTTAAGAAGTTAATGTGAAAAGTTTGCAGATAAACAGATGGACAACAGAAATCAGTACATTTCAGAAAACAGTATGCTTATAAATAGTTAATCAAGGTGCTTTGGGTAGCAAAATAAAGCTACACTGGTAAATCTAATTCATCCGCAGAGCTTAGTATATTTCAATATGCACAACCTTTTCAACTCTTATGATTATTTTTTAAAATTTATATCACCATGTCTCATTCAAGGGAGAACTAGAGATATGACCAGATGTATATCTGTTGAATATAAAATATGTACATGTATTCTGTGTTTTTTTTAATAATTTGTTTGTTTGTTGTGACAGCAACTGTTATGGCAGCTTTTGGCAAAGGTTGAAGTTTCTCAAATGTAAGTCAAACTCCAAGGTCAAGGTCAAAGGGTCTAAATTGTTGGTATCAAAGGGAAAGTCTTGTCACAAGGAATACAAATGTGAAAAAAGGGAGAAATCCCTAGAACTTCCTCACCTGTTCAAAAGTTATTGCCAAGGTTAAAGTTAAAATTGGATTCAACTCTAAGGTCTAGGTCAAAAATAATTATACCTGTTGAAAGTTCACAATGATTACACATGTAAGAGCATGAAAGTCCTAGCACCACCTGTTCAAAACTTACGCCAAGTTCAAGGTATTTTTCTTGTAAAATTGGGTCAAACTCCAAGGTCAAGAGATCAAGAGGTCAAAATTGGTGGTACCCATTAAAAGGTTTTGCCAAAAGAAATTTACCTATGAAATATTGAAGCCATGTGTATAGCCCAATCCACTTAAAAAATATGGGCAAGGTTAAAGTTTCCGTGGACAAACAAAAATACATAAACATAGGAAACAAAATATGTATAAATAGTCAAATGAAAAAATGTTCTACTATTATGGAGTCAGAAGATCAATTGTCATTTCAGGTACAGGGAGTCAGTGGCTAGGGAGATCAGACCCCCCCCCCCCTGGAATTAGCAGTTATTCAAATAAGACTATATATGTACTGCAGAGAATAAAAATGACTTTGGACATCCCCCCCCCCTTAGAAAACAGGGACTCCACCATCATTGTTTTTATTATTATTTTTTATTTCCATCTCAGGAAATCTTGGGCTGATTTTTTTGACTGAGGTGTGACACCCCCCCCCCCCCTTTCTGAAAAAAAATTCTGGATCTGCGTCTGTTATATACTGAATGTCCGCAACGGGAGATAACTTGACAATGTGAAATTTGTCGACTGTGGCATGCGATGATCTTTGACCATGTTGACCCTTTTTGAACTTCAACCTAACCATTTGCATTTATTTATTTTTATGCAATCTATACTAAATCTTGTACTTACCGAATGTCATAGGTCGTGACAACGAATTCATGAAATATAATCCATATAATCCAATTAAAACACAAATGATTTTAAATGACCACACTGCATCGTCAGCATACAATGTACATGTGCTAAATAATCTCATTCGACAAACCTTTGCTGATTCCGTTGCCAGTATGAATTGGCCGAGGTGTGCCGAGAGGTGATATCTATAAATATGATAATGGGTGACGCAAACCCAATGTGAATGTAAAAAATAAAACTGTTTAGTACAAGAACAAATTTCAAACTATCATAATAAACTAAACTATGTTTTTTAAAAAAAGTGAGAATGAGAGAGAGAGAGAGTGTGTGTGTGTGTGGGGGGGGGGGGGAGATAGGCATTGACAAATTAATCGGGTTGTATTTTCGATGGGTTTTTTTCCCGACCAAATACTAAAATCAGTTTGCACATTTTGATAAATTCATCAAAAACGCTTTGTACTAAAATAATATTTTATGTCGTTGAGAAAGTAAATTTACAAAGTTCCAAATTATGGGAAAATTATTTATTTGAATCTAATTAAGTAATTAACTTCAATCATTAATTAAATTCTGTTATTTCAGACTGGTTATGAATTAAGTATTTTAAAATACATATGTGAGGCTCAGAGTTGATATGGTCATCTGAAAATTTTATGTTCAATTTGACGAATACATGTACGGTGATAATTATAGAATTATTTTGACTTCTTCCTTGCAGGCGCGTAGCCAGGCGTACGTTTGTACGCACAAACGTCCACATCATTTTCAAAAAAAAAGGGAAAAAGAAAGAAAGAAAGGAGAGGAAAGCGAGACAGGCATAATATTGTAAAGCGTACTCATAATATTGGCAAAATATTAGTAAATTATAATTTCAGAAATAATAAAAATTAAAAGATTTTCTCGGATTTTGGTTTACTATCGAATATTGATGATTTTTTCCAAAGTGTAATTACATTCTTAAAGAGTTTCTCTACTGTAAATGTCGCATACTACAATGTATAAGCCCAGTCGGTTCCCAGTCGATAATTTTATTTCATGCCAAAAATTTCAATATTTAGTAATGGAAATTAACTTCCAACCGCAATGCTTAACTTCTGTAACGATAACTACCCCCTCCCTCCCCCCAATTTAACCTAATATCAGATTAATGCGAGACTTCAAAAATCATAATTTAACTTTATATATGAACATAACAAATTGAAAAATTAGTAAAAATTCAATTTAGCCTTAAAAAAAATAATAAGGCCTGTTTAAGTATTGACATCCTACGTTAAAACCAGTAGTAGATTTCGTGGTCTGTCTAAACTATGCAGTCAACCACTCTCACCAACTATATATCGTATGTTACCATACGTATTTTGTCGAGCTTCAAAAGTCTAAAATCGTTTTAGTGGGTTCGCTTTTCGACAGATCTTTCCTCATTTTTAAGGTTAATGTCCGCATTTTGTGCAAGGGAAGAACAGACCTTAAATCTGGCTGCGTAACAAACCGAAAAAAAGATAAGAAAAATGCTATCAGGTCAAACATGCAGGTCAAACAAAAATTCACCAGCTTCCGGGAGCTTCGCCCCGTGGCCCCCCACCAGGGCTTCGCCTTGGACCCCAAATCCCCAGCCTATCCAGGCGTCCACATGAAATGTACCCTGGCTACGCCCCTGCCTTGGAAAGTCCAATATGAATGAGTGTATATTTAGAGGCAAACACCATAGTGCGGGTATTACTGTCTCATGACAGCATCTAGTTGATAATTTGAGTTTGTCATACATGTATTACTTTTAAATATTAAATATCATATGCTTCCAATTCCAGGATTCCATATTAGACATTAAAGTCCCAGTTTTCAGAAGTGGAAGTCAGGTAAGAACTCTACAAAGCAGAGAAGAATTTAATAATGAGTAATTAATAGCAAGCTTCTATGCTCTTTATGTCACTATATTTGCAAGTAACTTTGTGATTTGGTCCCTCAAACTCTTGTTGATGATGTTTTCCTGAAAGTTATTACTTTACAGGAATTTTTTAAATCATTTCCTATAAAAAGGGAGAGGGCAGATAATGTTTTTCAAAAAATGTGTTCATTCCAAATATCTTTACTAGTTAGTAATCATACAAATAAACTGTGTTCTAATTAAGGGGAGAACTGCAAAAGTTGTTAGCTATATAGGCTTGGAATGATAATAAATTATGTTTTTTCATTTTACTGACTTTGATGACAAGCATGTTCAAGAATATGGTGATGTAGATTTAAGACATGCATTTCATCTGTATTTGTCAATTTCAGCTTCCAGAAATCAAGCCCTACATGGATTACTTCCCTTTTCCTTTCTACATCATACTGCGAGACATTAACTCCCTTCCTAATGTGTTGTGTGACGCCTTAAGACAATGGTTTGAACTTGTGACGGCAGTGGATGTTTGATTTATTCTGTGTAGATACTGTGAAATACCTTTGTTTAAAGCTGTAACAGGTGCTTATTTCTGTGTAGATGTTATTTGATGCCGTGTGACAATGGTTGATCTTGTAAAAGCTATGGATGATTATTGCTGTGTAGATGGATGTGCTGTGGTTTGAGAAGGAACTTGCGAGGAAATACAATGTATACATTGTATTTCCAATACAATGATAATACAATATGTGTGCAATACCATGTGAGATGGAAATAATGTGATTAGAGTTTTGAAAAAAAAGTGAACAAACCACGCATACAATTTATTGAATTGATCTATTATAACAATGGTTACTATCCTTTTAAATATTTTGTTTCTAGTGAAACATTATACCAGGTCATACACTAGATAAATATTCTTTTTCACATTTCAAAACTCGTTGATGATGTTAATGTATGCTCCCAAGTGATGAGAGAGCTGAAAAATTAGTAACTTTATAACTTTCGAACAAGAAGTGTTTTTACGAGCCATTTTTGTTGTAAACAATAAACCATTGTATAGTTGTTAACCCAGCATTTTGATTGATCTTTTTACAAGACCAGTAAGACGCTTGTAAAATTTACTACAATATGGTCTGACAAAGTAACAGTTGATAAAAATGTCAAATCGTATATGTGAAAAGGGGAGGATTAAACAAAGTCATTTCACTATGTGTGATTTTTTAGCTCTACTGGTCAGAGACCAGAAGAGCTTATGCAATAGTTATGCGTCTGTCGTCCGTCTGTCCGTCTGTCTGTTTGTAAACAATTTTTTCAAAATGCTACTCCTCCTACAGTTTTGGTCCGATTTTAAAATAACTTAGAACACAAGTAGACTACACTACGATACATAATTCTGTGCATTGGTTTTTGATTTCAATGAACGGTGTTGCCGAGGCTACTAAAAATAGAAATTTCTGTGAAATTTTTCAAAATGCAACTCCTCCTACAATTTTGGTTTGATTTCAATATAATTTGGCACACATAGTCAAGTAGACTACACTAAGATACATGATTCTGTGCATCGGTTTTTGATTTCGATGAACGGTGTTGCCGTGGTTACTAAAATAGAAAATTGTGTGAAATTGTTTCAAAATGCTACTTCTCCTACAGTGTTGGTTCGATTTCAATATAACTTGGCACCCAAGTAGACTTCACTAAGATACATAATTATATACATCGGTTTTCATTTTGATGAGTGACAATGATAAATTTTCTATTTATTGCTGATTTAGAGTCTCAGGTCCCAACTGCTACTTTTCTCTTCCTTTGTTTTAAGTATAAACCAGTAGAGCTACAGTCTCGAGAGATACTGTAGGTTAGTTTATCAATTAAAAGTATGCCATGAGACACATGATTCAAATTGTCCTTTGTTTGAGGGATGTTAATGTTTCTTTGGTTAATGTTGAAATTAAGTTGTTAAGCCTCTAAATACTGAAAAATAAAGTATGCGAGAAAAAGTTTTTTTTATCTTTATATCATTATATAAAATTGGATATTATACATGTACAGTCATTGACTGAGTTCGAGGGCAACATGCATTTTGTTTGACCAAAGAACCAAGCTGTTTGGTTCATGTGTTGACAAAACAGTTTGCCAGAGAACAGAAAGTATAATGACTAACATTAAAAGTTTTATTAAGTTTGAAGATCAGTTTCCTAAGCAGTTAGGAACAGAGGGGTGAAAATTTATTTAGATGGGAGGTAAATGCTACTTAAGCTAATTTTCACTGCAAATGCTGAATGGAAATTGATATAGAGAATTATTATCAGAAAAACAAACAAAATCAAGTTTTGTATTTGATTCAGTCAATAAATTTTGGACAGTTTTATGTTCTCTTGACTTGCAAAAATTCCAATTATTTGAGGGGGGGGGGGGTTTGAAGTATTTTGCAAACATGTTTTGTTATCAAAGGTTTACTCTGGCATATATGACTTCTTCTACTTCTTTTTTGATTGAATAATATGTTGACAGCGAGAGAGTTTTTGTTAACAACTTGTTTTAAATTGGCTCTTTGTTTTCATTTTGAATATAAAGCAAAACAAAAGTTAATATGTATGTTGCTGATATTCTTAAAACAAAGTCTTTAATTTACCATTTTGTTCCGACCTATTGTGATTCGAAATGTACGTATGGACGACAACCCCTCTTGCAATATAATATTTAATGACTTTAACGTATAACCATATCTTTGTGACAACATGTTACTTCAGTTTTGCATGGAGGAATATTGGCAGGACTGTGATTTGGAGATGCTTTAATCTGTTCTGCTGAGAGGAATCCACATCAGGGAGTAAGTTTATAACATACTCCCCAAAAATTGCCCTGAGAAATTATTTTACTACAGGGCATGATAAACATCTAAGATAAAATTTAAAATTAAACATTTTAAGCGTATATTATAAGGTGTTCTTAATGATTAAAATTTTGTTAGTAAACAATCATTGTAAGAGGGGGTTAAAATGAATCTCATTTTATTTCAAATCTCTATTTGGAAACTTTAATTTTAAAACTACATCGCATAAAGAATTTCTCTCTTCTTGGATAAGTTAAAGGTGTGATCTTTTTGCTATTTGATTTTTTCAGGTTTCTTTACAGGTTTGTTTAATTAGAAATATATTATGATGTAGACCATCATTTTGTTAGTAAACAAACAGGCATTGTAGGAGTAGCTTGAACTTAAGCTCATCCAACATTTTATTACTTTACTTTATTTGGAAACTTAAACTGCATTGCATAAAAATTTTCTCACTTTTGTAATACTAGTAAGTGAGGTGTGATGATCGTTTTGATATTTAATTTTTTCTTCAGGTTGAATATGAAATAATTTATATTGTAGACAGTCTTCTGGCAATGTAGACAATAATTCACTTAACCTGTGTACGTGGCAGAGTCTGCTGTCTGTCTGTATGTTGTATGTGGATCTCTCTACACCAGACACACTCTCTGTCCGTTCTATGCTCCTACAAAAGATGTTAGAGAGTTACAGGGAAGCAATGAGTAGGTCAAGGTCAAGATCTCCTCTGCTTGACGACATTAAAGGTCACCTTGAGCTGATACAGGGTGTCATGGGACAGGTGGTCAACAGTGTAAAGAGTCTAGTGCTGGAGAAATACAGAACAATTAATAACAGTAAGCAATGAATATGTCTTCCAACTTTTCTCAGTAATTGTTGTGAATTGCAGAACAAATAGAAAAACAGCTATCAAACTTCAGAAAGGAAAAAAAAATGATCAGTAATGATGTTTTTTTGAATTTTTCTATTCCTCAGCTGATGTCATGCAGTACTACATGGACCCCCGATATTGCCCCCAGGTTCTGAGGTCTGTCTGTGGGGGAGACAGCTATGTGTGGGCAGTGAACCTCTACACTCTGGTGTCTCACGTCAGTAGGACTTTATCACTGGGGGCTCCACTGGGGGACAGACTGAAAAAGTTCTTAGAGGGTAGGTCAATATCTATCAGGCAATTTAGTACTTTGCTTCTATGAAATTTTAATGAATGTAAGAATGTCACACAGTACTGTACAATGTATTTGTGGTGCCCATTATCTCAATTTGAAAGAAAGAGTGATTTTGTTTATGAATTTGTTTGTAGAAGGGAGCAAGGAGATTTTTGATGTAGATTATGGGACCCTTGAGAATCTGATGATTGATGTAATACAGACAGATAAAATCCTACAGCAATTCAGCCACCTTGGTAAAGACATGGATTTCCAGGATATAATTAAGGTATGTTTCTGAGTTTTCACTCCTCTTGACCCATAAAACTATTCAAAATGTTGAAATCACTTATTCAATTCCCAATTTTCAAAACATTCATGACAAGCATCTATAGAAAGTTGGATTTTCATTAAGATAAAAATATTATTGGTTGCTAGGTAATGGATAAGATCTGCTGGGTTGCTAGGATGAGGGAGTCCTTGGTTACCTACACACAGGATCATGACCTTAACAAGGTCATTCTGTTTTACTCCTGGGTCAAGGACAAACTACTGCCTGTAATGGGTGAGAGGTAAAGATCTAAGTCAAGTAATGGGATATTCCTGTACTAGATTCATTACAGTGGCATGTCAGTACTTGGTTCAATTCATTGAAAAAAAAATTGGCAAAACTGAAAAGAAATCCATAACTTTTGTCAAATTCATTGAAATCAATTTTTTTAATGACCAAAAAAAAGAATTATTAAAATATTTCTCTGTGCTTTGATAATTGTTGATTTTGGCGTTTCCACTGAAAACTTATGATTATACTAGTATTCTTCAACAGTAAGATGGACAACTACAGAAATTATGTGATATTCATAAAACAAATTTTTCTCCCTTTAGGTTTATGGAGTGTTTCCCACATCTGTACCAGGCTGGTGAAGGTCTGCTGTCAGGATATGAGGAGACGGATTGTTACATCAGGTTCTGGAACTCCCATGGTCACCCACACCCTTACAGAATCCAGAGTGAGGCTGAGGACCGCTTGACCCTAAGTGACCTCTGTAAACTGTCTGACATCCATAGAGAGGCTGCTGACCTCATTATGAACTATAAAGTCCAGTTACATCTAGAGAGGAGGCGTGAAATCGTGTCATTAGTAATGAATGCAGGGACTGAAGTGAAAGCTGAAATTCCATATGGTATGAATAAGGCAGGCCTTCAACCAAAAAAATAAATTCTTTTTTATAAGATGGGGATTTTCTAATAACTGTTAGCTAAGTTTCTGAAGTGGCATTGCTTTCTGTTATGTCTATCCTCCTTTAATTTGAGCCTCATGATTTTGTTTTTGTTTGCATTACCTATTGCAATATTTAAATTTAAAAACTTCCAGGCAATAACGCTGAGACCATTAGAAAGGTTAGACAACTCCTTCAGCAATATAACCTAACACGAGAGGAAATAAAGGCAGTGGACAATGCAATGGAAATGGACCAACCAGAATACAACAATCAACTGTCACTGTGCAGCCAGTCAACGACTGGAAATCATGTTGACCTTTGGCCTCTGAAAGATCACATGTTTGTTCTCGCTGAGCTGAAGCTGGTCAATGGAATGATGACATCAACTTTTACTGCTTCATCAGAGATAGGGGCATTAGTTAACTATGGGAGTCAGTTTACTCCTGTGTCACCGATAGTTTTAGCAAAACTGAAAGCAAAGTGTGAAGACAAAAGTCAAGTAATTTTAATGTTTTATTATTGAACTGAGGCCAACTTCAATGTGATGAGTAAATTGATGTTAAATACACAGGAAAGATCTAAGTAAAGTAATAGTGTATACAGTGTACTTTAAAAAGCAGGCTTCATATTTTAGTTGCTTTGGCGCAGACAGCAATGTGCTAATTTATGAATACACTGTATCTCTAACAAATCATTTCCATATACAATACACTGAACGGACATGTAGCGCTAATTTATGTTGATGCCAACAATTCCAAACCCAGTGATTATGCTTAATTTTGAAAAGCTACCCCAATTTATGTACACGTACAGTTCCTTTAGAGAGCTTGCTATTGGAAAATCAAGATTTTATCATTAAGATATGCATAATTAACAACGTTTATTTACAGGAAGCTGTCAGTAACACTTTGTGTGAGATACTCAGTGATCTGTACCAACAACTGTGGACCAACACCTCCGCTACAGGACTAAACTGGTGGTTAAACTGGTCCTCATCCCCTCAGAGCACAACATCAAGTATTGAAAGGACCAGAGAAAATTGGGTAAGGTTGGATTTAGTCTTAGATACTAAAATTAACTTGATAGCTTTGACCCTGGTCTATTAATTAGGGATTTATCTAGCTATTTTGTTTTACTACCGTTTAATATGTAAAGGGGAAAATTGAAAGCCGCAGGCTCGATCTGAGTGCCAGAGGCGCAAGTATTCTAGGGGGATCCGGGGGCAAGCCCCCCAAGAAAATTTTTAAATAAATGGAGCAAAATTCTCCATTCAAAAAGCTTCTGAGGGTCATTTGTAGACCTTCACAAAAGCCACAAAAACTTCACTTTTTAGACAAAATAAAAAAAAAATTAAACCAGGTCAGTACTTTATTTCATTTTTTTTGCTGAATATCTATCACAAATTAATTCTGTTTTTCATGTTTCACTACTGATATTGTTTTTGTTGTTACTCCATTCTTCCAATTCATAGTGATATAAGCTCCATCCTACTCATCTACATTTTCTTTTTAACTCTGCAATCGCATAGTTACATATCTTTTGACGTCATGGACTTGGCACATGTTTACCAATCAATATCAAATAAAAGCTTGAATAATATAATTCTTTCTTTTAAAAGCATTTAAATGACTAGGATGGTAAATTAGGATATGCTGTTAAACTTCAATTGGACAAAAACGGAAAATTTCAAAACAAAGTTTTAAATATTCTCCGTTTAATTAGGAAATTTTCTATCTGAGAAAGGGGAATTTTTGCACCTTTTTCTTGAGGGGAAAGGTACCGTTTACTGGTAGTAAAAACAGCCTTGATAAATCCATGTAATAAGCTACTTTTAATACATGTACGTACATGACATTGTTTAATATTTGACAGCTGTAGAGCAACATTGAATGTTCAAATGCTCATTGACAATTAGTATTCTAAGCAAATCAAAACAAACTGGCCAATTTTATAACAGTGAAGAGAACAAAAAAATTTTACATGTGTATTGTACAATTTAAAATATTATGGTTGTTTGGGGAAAAACACTATGATACATAATAATATTTGATAATATTAATATTACAAATTCTGTAATTTCATATTGCAAAGATTATTGATAAAGATCAAATGCTGTGGAGATATAGGTGAACTTCCTTGTGTGTCACAACATAGTTATCTGGCTTGTTATTTGTGTAGTATTTGTCTCAAATATAAATATAAGCAATCAACAACAAGACTGCTATTAAAAATTATCAATGGATTAAATCTGGGATTTGAACATGTTTTCAACTAAATTCATTTTCCAGTGAACCTTTGTTTATTTCTCCATTAAATTAACACTAATTAGCATAAACATAATACAGTAAATAAGATATCATTTTTCTGTTTTCTGTAAATACTTGTACACAGAGACAGTAGAACTTCTTCCCCCGACCCACAGATTGTGTTGATCATCAACACAGAGAGCACAGGGACGTGGAGGACATTGATCTGGTGCGAGTAAGAGGGACAGGAACTGACCATTGATGTCCAGCAGGTGGACACTAAAAGTGTCATTAGACATAGGATAGCCATTACACACAAGAATGTTTCCCAGGACATCTGTACAGATTCCATAAGGACGGAATCCATGATGAGACTGGTGACCAGAGTAAGAGAAGCGGTACTCTCCTGAGGCTGTCACCACCACAACCTTATTGGCATTAGAGTCAGATGTGCAGATATCACCATTAATGTTCTCGGTGATGTAATCTATACTTTGGTAGATATTTTGTCCTTTATCATCCCGCCGTATGTCCTGTAACTTTCTTCCTCCTCTGCTGTATCTGGTTATTTTATAGACTAGATTTCTCTCCATCACAACCAGTATGTGTCCATTGATAGGAGAGGAGAAAATGGCTCCAGGTTCCCAGCTACCTGTCTCAATAAACCTGATGATGGACTTGTCACTATTTACTCTGTATACAGAGTTTTTATTGTAATCTGTGTAAAGCAGTTCTCCCTCTGTTGTTACTGTGTGGTTACCTCGGAAATTTAAAAAAGTGATATATATTTTATGTAAGATGTTTTCTTCCATGTCATACTGAATGATATTCATAAGATCACTGGCCCAGAATTTGTTTGGGGGTAAGAGAGACAAATGATACACTTTTCCCTGGATAGTTTTTTCACTTACTTTTGTAACAGATGAGAGTTCAAACCTTTCTGATAAATCTAGTTCTATTTTACCAAACTGTTTGGTTATCTCTTCTTTATTTAGTGTACCTGATGTTAAAATTGGCAGTTTGGGTTCAGATTTGCTGGGCATCTTCAGGGTAGCTAAAGAAATGTCTAATTGGAATTTCATGAGTTCGGTGTGTTTAATTGATGACATTCTACTCTCATAGTCTGCAATCATTTTTTCTAGGTACTTTATGTAGTCCTCTGTTTCCTTCTGTTGTTCCATCATTTCAGTCAGAACAGAGTTTTCAATCTCATCCAGTTTTTTATTATTATCAGTTAGTATATTGTCAACAACCTCTTTCAGTTCATCTGCTCTATTTTTCATGGAAACTCTAAACTTGGCAATTTCTTGCTTGACATTTTCTCTCTTTTTCCCAATTGATTCAACATTATTTTTAGCTGTAGGAATGACTTCTTTCCAAATCTCAGTTATTCCTTTCTGACATTGCTGCAGATTGTCATTGTAAATGGTTTCAAGGTCACTTTTATCATGATCACTGTGATGTTCGGTAAAACATGTAGAACAAAGAGGATCCTGGCAAATTTTACAGTAAACGTTTAAATGTTGTGTGGGATGGATCCTGCATTTCTCTGACGGGAGTTTTCTCTTTCTCTTGTGATAGAGGACAATGTCATGTCCACTGTTCTGCTCTAGATGGCGCTGTTTGCATTCATCACATATTCGCTGATGACAGGTGTTGCAGTAAAACACAGAAAAGTTCCTACATAATCCCGTGTCACACTCAATAAAGTGCTGGGCTGTATCTGGTACCTGGTCCATTGTTGTTGTTTCAAACTCTAAAAAATAGTCATTATCAGAGTGTAGGTAATGGAGACACTCTAGGTAGTGGTATGAGTGTGTATAGCTTCAACATGTTCAACACTTACTAATTTAAAAGTATTACCTTTTATGTGATCTGGTAGTTAAATCTCTTTCACAATACTTCAAGTCGTGATAAGTATCAGCCATTTGTAATGTAAGATATGTATCCAGGTAGAATGTAATTTACCTCCTGTTATAAACAAAGACACATTGTGGCAATGAAACCACAAATAGCTGAGGTGAGCCCAGTGACAAAAACATTTAAATCTCCATGCAGTCTTGGCATCGTTGCAGAAATTGAATAATAAGAGAATAAATGGGCCATACTAGCACACAGTAATTGTAATTTAAAAAAAACAAAAGAGCAAAGATGTTAAACAATACTGGCTCTTTAAAAATGTTTATAATTTAAACATTTAAAGAATTGGTTTATCAATAAAATATTGACCTTGATTGTGCTGATGTACTCTAAGGAATTCCTGCACTTTAGTAAGAAACAGCATTAAGTTGCTTCCATTGAAAACAGTGATGCAGTGGTTAGAGCATCTGCTCTAGAATGGTGAAGTAAGGAGTTGATCCTTATGTCGTTGATTTGAATCCCACTGTAGAACGTGGAGACTGGTCCTTTGGATTAGACCATATAAACCGAGTTTCCATGTAACCCTCACTGCTCAATGGCCCCTAATAGCTGCAGAACTGAAGTTCTCTGCTTGCATGCTCTACCTGAAGTGAGGAAGAAAAAAATCAGTGTAAATCAGAAGTTTTTACAACACATGGATCTGTAGCTCCCTGCTTTACCTGTCTGAATTTTCTCAAGCACAGAGCTACAGTTCTGCAGCTATGACCTGAGTAAAGGAGAAAATTTGCATCTCTCCACCAACAAGTGGTGGTGACTTTATATGAGTGAAAAATTTTTGAAAAACACACGCATGATTGCATTACCATATCTCTTCCGGCTCCGTTTGTAGGATATAATTATGACAAAAAAATCTAAATAATATTAAATGTATTTATATGTTCTCTTGTTGTTGTCTAATGTTTAAACCAAATGTGATGAGAATTAAGAACAGGAAAAAACTAAAAGGACTATATCCACAGACATTTGACTAAGTACTTGGCACAGCACAATTCTCAGTAACAAAGGAATCATAATTTAATATATTATTGCTTGTGTGCTCTTGTTCAATTCATATGAAGTAATACTGTTTAATTGCTGGCTACATGTCAAAAAAAATTGATTAATGTCATCAAATTAAATATGTTTTAGAGTCCAGAAAGTCTTCATAAGTCAGTACTAAGTCAGACTGCCTACCACCTGATGTGTGGAGAATCTGAGGAAACACTAAAGCCATCACAGGACAGACATCTCACTATTCATGTTTCCCTGAGAGACTTAAAATCAAGGCTTCACAAATTACAGATCCTGTCACAGCACATCTGGTCTCAAGGTTAAATGTTGTGTAAAGGGAATCTCAAAACTAGGTAAGTTTTAATTATGTGTTGTGTGTATTCACAAGCTTCAGGAATTTATTGAAAGTCAATAAATTAAATAATTTGTATGACAAATATTAATAATATACAAAGTCATTGTGTTGTCCTTTTAGGAAATTGTTGAGACAGCACAATGTCCAACTGTTTGTATCAATACTTCACTCCACTGTGGCAATGTTTAAAACCAAGGAATCAGAAGATAAATACAAACAGAGTGTGTCTGAGTTCATCACCTGCCTCCAAAACAAAGATACCTCTCATAGGGACAGTGAACAAATAATCCAAACCATAACAGACCTCCTGCATGGAGTTATGGGTCCTGATCTATTTATAGTCAGGGAGTGTTTGAGTGGAATACTTGCCGTTTCTGATGATGAGGCTGATATGAGTACAGTAGGGAGACAGTGGGTGTATGTAGGTCTACTGGGCATGCTCCTCCACAAACCAAGGTCACCTGTTGATCCCGTGGTCAAAACACAGATCAAACTACAGCTAAAGCAAAGGGAGGTAAGATCAATTACAGAAAATGTTTACATTAAGAAATTAATGTAAAAATGTTTTTGCTCTTGATTTTTTTTTCCTGTTGCAAAATTGAATAAACTGAAAATAATTTTCAAGTAAATTTATATAAATCAAAAATAAATAAAAAATAAATTAATAGTTAAATAATTTTTATATCAGCTGGAGGAGATCAATACAGATATTGAGGTCAAGGTCATTCATCACAGACAAATGACAGGTCTACATCTGCTGGACACGCCCTCCCACCTACAACATCCTCTGATCCTCCACTTGATTGACAGGAGGGAGAAGTTACAGAGACAGATAGAGGCTTTACAGTCCCGGCAGGCCTACAGACCAAGTGCTTGTCAGGTTAGTGGCTTGATATTTCAGGATTAATGTGATGGCTATATGTTAATGACAATAGAATTGTTCAAAACATTTTGGGCAATATGTGTGTAAATTTTATCAGTTTCTCTGTCAGTTGTCTTTCTTGACTTTGAAATTCATTGCTCTCTTGCAGTACAAACAACTTTTGAATATGATAAGGGACTTTGACAGTACCAAAGGATCTGCCACTCACACAATTCAGCTGATGGAAAAATTATTAACAATTTGTAAATCTGGAGAATTATCCAATGAGATTGCAGAAGAGAGGACCTGGCAGAAAACTCACCAGCGATTGGTCAGTTCCCTGGAGGAGGAGTTCCCTTTGTACAGAGACATCACCACACCCTTCATAGTCGCCCTCCAACAGGTGAGTGATTATAAAGTTACAGGTTGTTTTTTTATGCCCCCCCCCCTCCCTGAGTCCACAATGGGGGCTGTTTGCTCTTTCTTTTAAATTTCAAATGAATTTACAAGTTAGACATGTTCTCATGTGAAAAGCCATTTCAGCATTTTAAGTGTAAAGAAATAATGAGACCTTGTTTGTTTCAGGTGAGATGTGGGATGAGGCTTATAGCTGGCTGTGCAACAGAAGCAAACAATGCACAACAATTGACAGACAGACTGAAAGTGACCAGTCAGGTAGAAGCACTTCTAATGATGGAATAAGTTTGAATTACATTATCCATATTTTCAAATTAAAAATTGGGTTCAATTTTCACCTAGTTATTGTGAATTTCTCAGAAATATAAATTTATAAATATATATTTTGCTCTCAAGGTCCATGAGACAGTTGGTCACATCAGGGAAGCAGCTCATCTGTTGGTAAAGTTCCCGTTCATTTCATCAGATGTATTCAGCAGTTGGAAGCTAGCTCAGAAAATCCTGTTAGTAGAGAGACTGGTGTCTGGTTGTAGGGGTCAGGTGGAGGAGAACGGGACAGAGCAAACTTCAAGGTAAATGTGTAGTTATTTGTTTTCTGCCTTTATAGAAAAGTGTTGAATTTTCATTGGTTGAGGAGAGGACTATAATATTATATAAATGGTGCCTTTTTTGGAGGGTAACAGATTAAATTGGCACCCCAAGCAAAACCATTGTCAACCGACGCGTCAGCGGAGGTTGACAATGGTTTTCCGAGGGGTGTCAATTTCAAATGTTACCCTACAAAACAGGCACCATTTATTTTATTATACTGAATGTCTTATTGATTTAGGACGTCAGCGAAAAAAAACCGTCGATCGTCTTTACGCTCATGCATAGAAAGCTTTCACACTCACCGGTTCACTAATCTCCTTATTGTTTGTTTGATACTCGAATTCGAGTCATTTATCAGGTTATAAGGTTCGTTATTTCTGGCTCGCAAGCATGTTTCCTACACTGGCAAAGCATGTATCGTCTGTCGTTTGTTGTTTTAAAGTAAGCTTTATCGCAAGCAAGCTTTTATTGACGTCAAGATAATTCCGGTTCTTTCAAACGCGCAACTGACGTTTTGAGAATTCTACGGTGAACCGTACGCGCATAATTTCCACGCATGTGGCATTACCGTTGTGTTACCCGTTGTCACGTATGTTGCTAAGGCTCAGGGTAATCGAACGGATTGTTACCTGCGTCTAAACCAATCAGATTTTAGTATTTAACATGAAAGTATAATAAATTAAACTATATCATGCTGGTTCTAATATGTTACGTTCTATCCCTTCCTCTTTCAGACTTTACCTTGGTGCATTGTTTTTACTGCGGAACTCAGCCATGATGAGAAAAGAATTAAATAGAGAGATTCTGATGTCTCTGCACCAAATCTTCAATCGTTTTGTGTTGTCATGGAAACATCAGGAGGAGATACGACGTCAGAAAGAGGCTGATGAGGGTCTATATAAATACAAGACAAATCTCCACGGCGATGACAGAGACAATGATGTGATAGAGGAGGAGGAATTCAGACAGAACTTTCCCTCCTTTCAGCAGGTTAGTCAGGGTGGCCTGGACTGAGGTTGAAATTTGTCTTCAAAATACAAAAAAAAAAAAATCATGAAAGAAAATAAGATTTTCAACATGTAGATCAGCGTGTCATTGTACAGAACTATATTGTAATAGGTGTCTACAGAATGTGAAAGGTTTGAGATTTTGTTATCTTAAAATATGTAAAATGTGTATTCAATCCTACTGAATTTTTGCTATGTGTTTTTCTTTTGATAGGATTTCCAAGACTTGATGACACCCTACTCTCTGGAAGACACTGGTTTATCTGAGCCTTTGGAACCGGAAATAGATGACGCATCCCAGAGAGTGACTGACAGGGAAGTGGCAGCTGTAAGCCACACCCACCAGCTACTGTTCTCAAGTCTGTCCTCCTCTGATTGGCTACAACAAAGTCATGTGACAGAGGTCATGACCAAGGATATCACAGAGCCCTCATTGTTGTGCTATAGCATTGCTGCACCTTTGTTTAGAGGGCAGTGGAACTGTAAGTTTAATCTTATGTTAAAAAAACAATAAAGACACTTGATAACCTAAGTAAGAACAGATTTCATCTCAATAAGTGATACAGTCAAACATATACATACATACATTCGTAATTTCATTTTTTCTCTTCTCGACAGTGTCAGAAGTAGAAAGGCAGACATTAGGAAGCCACCTGGTGGCCAGTCAGACACTACAAGAGGACATAAGTCTGTATATGATAATCAGGCTGAGAAATCATCACCAGGGTTATGATGTTTACCGTGACCCTAACTTGTCAGAGGTCATTCAGTGTGTTCCTATACTACAGAGACTGATGGTCAGAGTAAGAGAACTTCAACAGGAGTGGCCAGACCACCCAACACTAATACAGGTAATATCATCCAACACTTATACAGGTAATATCATCCATCACTTATACAGGTAATATCATCCAACACTTATACAGGTAATATCATCCAACAATAATACAAGTAACATCATCCAACACTAATAAAGGTAACAATAATATCATCCAACACTAATACAGGTAACATCATCCAACACTTATACAGGTAATATCATCCAACACTTATACAGGTAATATCATCCAACACTAATACAGGTATTATCATCCAACACTAATACAGGTAACATCACCCAACACTTATACAGGTAATATCATCCAACACTAATACAGGTAACATCATCCAACACTAATACAGGTATTCCAACACTCATAACATCAACACTAATACAGGTAATATCACCCAACACTAATACAGGTAACAACACCCAACACTAATACATGTAATATCATCCAACACTAATACAGGTAACATCGCCTAACACTAATACAGGTAATATCATCCAACACTTATTCAGGTAATATCATCAACACTTATACAGGTAACATCATCAACACTAATACAGGTAATATCATCCAACACTAATACAGGTAACAACACCCAACACTAATACAGGTAACATCACCCAACACTAATACAGGTAACATCACCCAACACTAATACAGGTAACATCATCCAACACTAATACAGGTAATACCATCCAACACTTATACAGGTAATATCATCCAACACTAATACAGGTAACATCACCCAACACTAATACAGGTAACATCGCCCAACACTAATACAGGTAACATCATCAACACTTATTCAGGTAATATCATCACACTTATACAGGTAACATCATCAACACTAATACAGGTAACATCACCCAACACTAATACAG